CCTGGATACAAAATCAGACCTTGATGTGCTGCAAGAGGTAGATACCAAGACAGAATTTGACATGCCAAGGTTTACTGGGTGAGCTTCCTGGTAGGATAAAGGAGGCGGCGGGAGCAACTGGGGGGCCTGTGCCCGGAGGGGTGGCAGGGGTGGCAGTGAGGGCCTCAGACAGCAGCGTGGTTCTGAGGATGTTCCAGCCAGGTGGGTGGGGTCCCACATCCTGCAGGAATAGGCCTACGCCAGCACCCGTGTCCTCAGTCACACTGGGTGCAGCCTGGGGCAGGGGGCATGGCCTGTGTGTGGATGGGAAGCCGGGAGGGCAGTGGTTGGAGAAGGCAGGTCTGTGTTCCACAGGAGGTCATTTTCGTGACCACCACATACCTTGAATCACTCCTACCAGGGCTGTGACTTGCACAAAAATTGGGTCAGGATGGAAGCCAGTGGCCCCAGCCCTGGGGAAGGGGGTGCAGAGGCCTCGCCGGGCTGTGGGACCTGACTGTGGCGCACATGTACACTGCTTCCGTGGCTTAGTCCCTTAGGAGACATGCCGTGTGTGTCTGAGCAGCCCGGGGGGCAGGAGCGTTCCACGCCTCTTCCTCAGCTCCTCCAGCGCCCTGCGTTCAGTGCCTTATACTTAATGAGTATTTGTAGATGGAGCTGTAAGTCCGAGCAAGGAGGCAGTAGGAACCTGCTGTGGATGGAAGCCACTGGGTCACAGGCAGGCTTGTGGCTCAGGAAGACGGAGTGAAGAAGGAGCCCTTCCCCCCTCACAGGGCCAAGGCTGGGAAGAAACACGATGCAAGTTGTTAAGATACGACAGGAGGGGCAGTGGGGGCCAGCCCGCCTTCGCCTTGGGTGAGCGAGAGCTGGAGAATCCCATTGGAACTTCAGAGAAGTCAGCTCCGGACTCCGTGCAGAGGTCCTGTGTGGCCTGGCATCAGTTAGAGTTCTGAGCCACAGACTCAGAAATTAGTTCTAGCTAGTTTAAGTGGACAAAGAAAATGTATTAGAGGACACGGAGTAGCTCACAGAATCCCCAGAGTGCCAAGAATTAGGCTGGGTGCTCCCAGGAAGTGCCCAGGGTCACTCCAGGGCAGGGACAGTGACTCCTGTGTGGCCTGGAACACAGACGCCGTGACCCAGTGCCAGGCCCGTCACACACCCGGCCCTTCTGCCACTGCAATGGACAGGATCATGTCCCCCAAATTGATACGGCACAGCCCTAACCCTCAGTGTGACTGTATTTGGAGATGGGGCCTTTAGGAGCTAATTAAGGTTGAACGAGGCTGAGATCTAATTGGATAGGATTGGCAGCCTTACAAAAAAAGACAAGAGAGAGAGAAACCCGCCCTGTGAGGACACCAGGGGGAGGCAGCCTTCTGCAAGCCAGGAGATTGCTCACTAGAACCTAACCATGCTGCCACCTGGGTCTTGGATTCTCCAGCCTCCAGAACTGTGGGGAAAAAATATCTGTTGTTCATCCGCCCCATCTGTGGTGTCCTAGTATGGCAGCCCCAGCAGACTGAGACAGCCCCCCATCTCTGGAAACCAGGGGATCCTGCTTTGTACCCGCTTCTGTGAAACAGATGCTGTGTCTGGACCAGGACATCTGTTGGCCAGGCCAGGTCCCATGGCAGCGTGCTCCGGCCGCAGGGGGGCTGGCGAAATGAGTCCTGGAATTCCCCCACGTCAGAGCCCCTCTCTCCCACTCCGGAGGCCAAGCACAGGAAGCTGTAAAAGACGTGAGATGCGCAAAGCCAGGACAGACACCCTCCCAGCAAAGGGACAATGAACCTTTGGGAGGTCCCCCTCAAGCTGAAATCAGCTGCCAAAGACGTCTCCCACGTGGTGACCCTTCCTGGTGGGTCATCAGCTTTGAGGCTCAAAACCCTTGCTGTTTTCAGCATAGCAAAACAGATCTTGGTTCATAGAAACTGTCCAGATATACAGTTTTCTCATCTTAGTGGCAGAGAATACAGGCACATCCGTGACCAGCGTGTGTCCCCCAGCACCCTACTGGCCGAACGGAGTGACCGTGGGTGTTGTGTGATCTGGGACAGGGCTGGGGCCTGGCCACCCCTTCCTCGGACAGAGTGGAAGGTTGCTGGGAGCTTCCTGTTTTATGCCCTTGGAGGTGATCCTTCCACCATTCTCTTCTCTTGGGGTTTCTTCGGAAAGTTTCTGCTTACTAAATTAGAGTAAAATACTGTTTCTGCCTCCCTGCAGGTGGCCTGGGTCACCTCGAGTGGAGTTAGGGGTGTCCCCAAATTCTTCAGCCATATGACTGCAATCTCATCGATGGCTGTGTCTTCTTTCTATGTGTTTTTCAGAACTTTGCAAGGGCAATCTTTCCTACTTTTGTCTCCCCAGATTCTCATGGGGCAAATCGCTGCTGCTCTAGCTTACTGCTGACACCCACTTCCCTAGAAGGTGATAGAGGCCAAAGGCGCAACTGCTGTGCCCCCCCCAGGTCAGCTTCCCCAGCTGACATCTCCGTCCAAATACAGATACTATACAGCTGTGCCCCCGCCTGCCCCAGAGACAGTCACATCTTTGAGTCATCGCCTGCATCAGGCCTCCGTGTTTCCTGAAGTATTTGGGCTTGAGAAACTTTTCCTTAGTGGAATTCAAACCACCAACCAATAGTTTCATTAACCCCTATGCTTTGTGAAATTGATTTCTGCAGTTACATTATAAGCCTGAGTACGTCTACGCCTTGGTTTGTACCTCAGCGTAATGGGAAACATGCCTGCAGCTGCCTTTGGAAGTGATCTCTGCGCACCTAGTCTGTGCAAGACCGGGTTCTGAGAAATGTAACAAGGCTTGTGACTGGTGGGCACCATCGGTGAGGGCACTGAGCTGGTGAGAGCAGCTGGTGGGTTCACTCCCGGTCCGAACAAGGTGGGCTCGCTCTGCCCAGCCCGTGGCCTCTTCAGTGAAGGCCCAGGGCATGCATTATTATTTGACCAAGGTCCCAGACACCCGGTGGCAAGCTCTTTCACTGAATGCTGAATTTTCTTAATAAAGGACAGGGGCCCCCCAGGCTTAGTGCCATGTCTGACCCCTGGGGGCAAGCATCAAGGTGTGAGCTCCCTGGTCCATGTGCTGTTTCTGCCTCTGGGGTCATGGGGTCAGTGGCCCTGCACCGAAGCGCGTGCGGCTGGGTCTGCCTCAGTCCCGACAGGACAGAAGTGTGCCCCGGGGAAACTGCTGCAAAATCCTTGTCTTGGTGCACATTTTCCTCAGGGCTTGGAAACCAACGTAAGTGAAGCATTTTGATGACAGATTGGGTTTCGTGAGCATTCACTATGTGTCGGGACTCCTCTTAGGCCACCTCATTTATTCCTCACAACAGCCGTGTGACATCTGTGTTTGGACGGAGACGTAGCTGGGAACGCAACGGAAGCCTGTGCAAGTGTGCAGGTTACCCAGGACGTAATCGCCAGCCCGGGGTGCCGCCCCACCATCAGCCCCACACTCTGTCTCTAGGAATCCTTTGGGGGAATGTAGGGGAAAAGCGCAGGTTCTTGGACTTTACCCCCCACTTTGTGATACATTTAGTCTAAAGGGGGTTCAGGAATTTGCATTTTTTCTTTTTTAAAAATTGAAATATAGTTGATATACAAAATTATATTGGTTTTGGGTAAACAACATAGATTTGACTATTATATCATTACTAAATGTTCACTAATAGTTACGATTAGGAATTTGCATTTTTAACAAGCCTTATAAGTGACAGAGGCAGGTGTTAGAATGACGGCACTTCCATGCTGTCTTTATTCCATGCTTGACAGTTGTTGCACTGGATAATGGGAAATGTGGGTTCATGATTCTGTTCTACTTTTTTTTTTTAATAAGGTATACACTCTTATGAAGGTTTCACATGAAAAAACATGTGGTCACTACATTCACACATTATCAAGTCCCCCCCATACCCCATTGCAGTCACTGTCCATCCATCAGCATATAGTAAGATACCACAGCGTCCCTACTTGTCTTCTCTGTGCTACAGTGTTCTCCCCGTGACCCCCCACACCATGTATACTAAACATAATACCCCTCAAACCCTTCTCCCTCCCTCCCCACCCGCCCTCTACCACCCCTCCCCTTTGGTAACCACTAGTCCCTTCTTGGAGTTTGTGAGTCTGCTGCTGTTTGGTGCCTTCAGTTTTGCTTCGTTGTTATACTCCACAAATGAGGGCAATCATTTGGTACTTGTCTTTCTCCTCTTGGCTTATTTCAGTGAGCATAATACCCTCCAGCTCCATCCATGTTGTTGCAAATGGTAGAATTTGTTTTCTTCTTATGGCTGAAGAGTATCCCATTGTGTATATGTACCATCTCTTCTTTATCCATTCATCTACTGATGGACACTTAGGTTGCTTCCATATCTTGGCTATTGTAAATAGTGCTGCGATAAACATAGGGGCACGTATGTCTTTTGAATCTGAGGACTTATTTTCTTTGGGTAAATTCCTAGGAGTGGAATTGCCGGGTCAAATGATATTTCTATTTTTAGAGTTTTGAGGAACCTCCATACTGCTTTCCACAATGGTTGAACTAGTTTACATTCCCACCAGCAGTGTAGGAGGGCTCCCCTTTCTCCGCATCCTCACCAGCATTTATTGTTCCTAGTCTTTTCGATGTTGGCCATCCTAACTAGTGTGAGGTGATATCTCATTGTAGTTTTAATTTACATTTCCCTGATAATTAGCAATGTGGAGCATCTTTTCATGTGCCTGTTGGCCATTTGAATTTCTTTGGAGAAGTGTCTGTTCATATCCTCCGCCTATTTTTTAATAGGGTCATTTGCTTTTTGGGTGTTGAGGCGTGTGAGTTCTTTATATATTTTGGATGTTAACCCCTTATCGGATATGTCATTTACAATTCTCCCATACTGTAGAATGCCTTTTTGTTCTACTGATGGTGTCCTTTGCTGTACAGAAGGTATTTAGTTTGATGTAGTCCCATTTGTTCATTTTTGCTTTTGTTTCCTTTGCCCAAGGAGATGTGTTCAGGAAAAGTTGCTCATGTTTATATTCAAGAGCTTTTTTTCTCTGTTTTTTCTGTTCTACTTTTATATGTTTAAACTTTTTCATATGAAAAAGCTAAATAACAGTATTGCATTACACATATGTAAGAGACCTGGTACCATGTCTTTGAAAAAACTGCTGATTCACAGACTGGCTTGCAGTTGGGGTATGTCCTCCAAACACCAGAATTAAAGAATAAAGTCTGTCTTGGGGGTGATGTGGGGAGTTGGGTAAGATCAGAGCAAAAGATAACAAAGTCCATGATTCCCTCTATTCCCTGAAGACAGTTTAGGGCATTTAGATTTGCAAACTAGCATATCCTATTTCCAAGATGTCAGGCTAGAATTCTTTCTTCACTGACCCCTACCCTTCTGGGATTTTTGCCTAGTCTTCTTTCTCCATGTTCAACGTATTCTATTATCCTGCCTTGATTTAATTATCCAACCACAGAGAGGAGAAATTGGAAGCTGCTTCAGCTCCAGAGGAGGGTCCATCCACCAGGGTGAGAGTGTTTGTAGAGGGACAGAGAGCCCAGCGGCTGGCTGCCCTCTCCTCCACAGCATGGCTGCTTTCCCTGAGTACACAGGGGCACCCTGTAAATATAGTTTGCTTTGGAGGCTGGCAGTCTGCTGAAAATACCCCATGCCCAAATGCAGGATGAAAATGTAAATGCACGTGGAGTGAATTTGCATGACTAGAGCACTTTTCTCCTCTGCATCACTAAGCTATGTGTGACTCTCCATGAAAGACTGAGGCAGGAGAAGATTGTCCAATCTTCCCCCAGCACACTGCACCGGGGCACTGAGCTGACACTGGTGTTTGCTACCAGGCATCGACTCCCTTTTTTTGGTAAGAGGAGCCTAATTTTGCCCAGCCCCTCCCACAGCTGGCAGCCCTGGGAACTGTCTCCTGGCTCAGGCCAGCGGGCATCTCCCAGCCCCTCCCTGGGGTCACTTCCCGGTGGGCATGCACTTGGCAGAGCCAAGAAGGGCCGCTCGCTTTGTCTCGCCAGTGGGGGATGTCGGTAGCCGCCGTTTGCCCTGTGTGGGGCCTGGAAGCAGGAGCAGTTCTGGGAGCAAGAAGGGCCTGTGGAGGCCGCCTCATTGGACTTGCAGAGCCGGGACTGGAGGCAGAGCTGGTGGAGCAGTGGGGCGTGAGCGGCTGGTCCTGTCTCACCCTGGGACAGGCAGGCTGCAGGAGGAAGCCAGGTCCCTGGTGGCCATCACGCCCAGACACTGGCTCCTCAACTGCTTGTCACCTGAGAGGCAGCCCAGCCCCTGGGGGTCGAACGTCACCCAGGGAGTAGCAGCTGCTGCCAGCCCTCGGTCCCCGGGGTAGGTGGGGCTCGAGGGTGGCCGTGCCCAGCCCAGCCGGTGGCACTGCACCAACGCTCAGCCTTTGCCCCATGTCCATCACAGGGCCAAGGCCAGAGAGTCCTCGGGTATGCGGGCTTCTAGAACGTAGACAAGAGCTCGGGTTCTTGAGCCCCCAGAAGGCCAGCAGCTCCTGTGAAGACCGCGTCTGAGGTTTTAATCTCCTGCCATCCTAATGGCTTCTCTATTGCTGTCTCTGCGTTTGTGGCATGGGCAACCTGTTCACTTACTCATTCAACAAAGACTGACTCACCGTCTGCAGTCACCCTTCCTGTGCCTCCATTTGACAACTAGAAATGAAGATAATGCCTACCTCAGAGGTTTTGAGGATTAGATGAATAAGGTGTTTAAATACATTAGCCCATTGAATGTCAGTGCAGGTGCATCTATCAAGTGCTCAATAATCGTTCCTATTCCTACCTCTCCCCACAGTGTCACTGTCACTAGTCCTCCCGTCACTCACTAGCAGTCCCCGCACTGTCACTAGTACTCCTCTCACCATCACTAGTAGTCCTTGCACTATTATCCCCTCGCACTGTCACCAGCACACTCGCCATCCCTAGAAGCTTCTGAGAGGGGGACTGGGTTTTAGTGACATGACCCCGATGTTACCCAGGCGTGTGACCTTGTCCATCCTGGGGTGAGACGTCGCTCCCTGAGCTTTTCCTTCTGGAACGGAGAGAACGCAGGGCTCTGTGAGGTTGGTGCCCCCCAAGCATGGCTGCAGGTGGGGAAGGACCTCCCCTGAGTCCTGAGGCTGATGCAGACCAGGAGGGGAGCCACTCCTCCTGCAGGTGGACAGCTTCGGGGGTGTGCCAGGCGCCCAGCTCCTTCCTCTGCCTGGCCAGGCCGGCTGGCTCCTCCTAGGCTAAGAGGACTGGGGAAGTGCATGGCCTCGGGGTCAGGTTTGAGAAGGGGAAGCAGTTGCCGGAACATATTCCAAGGCAGCCTATGTTGAGCATTTGCTTAAGTTGCCATAACTGCCACCGCTGATGCTCAGGCCCGGAGACAGCCCAACGGGCTTGTATCTTTCTGTTAAATGCATTGCTTGGAAATGAGTCAGGAAGACTTCAGCTCATGATGTTACGTGACCATCGTCTGCATTTTGAGTATGTGTCTTGTTAAAGCACACTCTCTGGCCTCCCATGATCCCCTTGGTCAGAGAGCTTGGTGTCCTTAGGGCTCCCTTTACAGTGGGTGCATTACTGTCCCTCACGGAGAGATGCTCTGACCCTTTCAGGACCCTTGTTCCATGGCCTGGAGAGACTAGTGAGGGTGGACACTTCGAGAATCTGGTCAAAGGCAGGGTGAGGCTGAAGCCTGACTTCCTGGCCCAGGACAGTGAGCAGGTTTTAGGGAGCTCTCATCCTAGCTAATCATTTCCTCTTACAAGTAAAGCCTGATTTCTCCTTCGGTGCTCCAGGACCAAGAGGCAGGAGAGGCCAGTGGCTAGGAGCCTGGACTTTGGAGCCAGACCACAGGGGGTGACCAGGCCTTTGCCCCCACCAGCTCTGTGGCCTTGGCAGGTCATGTGATCTCCGTGTGCCTCAGTTTCCTCATCTGTCAGGGGCCGCAAAGCCTTCCTAAGGAGAATAATAAGATTAAATTAGCTATTTATAAATTGCCCCAAACAGTGCCTGGTACAGAATAACCACTTTCTCTTCAATGAGTTTTCAGAAGAACTGATAGCTACCCTTCGAGTGTACCACTCCAGTGGCATCTCCCTGGAATGGAGTGCATGCATCCCTGAGTCCCCAGTTAGCAGGACGCTGTGCTGGCTGTAATCAGCCTTCTCTTGATGCAGCAGCGTCACTCTCATGACCCAGCCCACAGCTTGCCTGGGTCTCCTACAGGCAGGCCACCCCCAGCGTCCCCTGGGTCCTTCCTCATACACCTCAGCTAGGGCAGCAGTTATAGCAGGCCAGGTGGCCTTCTGGTCAAGGTGGGAGCACTGGAGCGGTGGCTATGTCACGTGCTGTCCCTGGTATCCCTGCTGATGGCAGAGGTAATGCTCTGGTTTGTAGTTGTGCTCTGTTGGTCGCATCCCCGAGGTGGCCCAAGGGACTGGCACTGGGGTGGCCTTGCTAGGCCTGAAGCAGTGGGGCCTTGGGCACAGCACGGTGGGGGTGGCGCCTCCTGTCAGCAGGGCTCCCCTCACCTGATCCAAACCCCTCTGGGCTGCTTTTCCCTAAGACTAGGATCTCCCTGGGCTGCAGGGAGCTGTCCAAGCAGTTGGTAACTACCCGTTCACCCTGAGCGGGGAGGTCGTCTGTCTCTGGCCCACCTTCCGGGCCCACGGCATTCCATGGCACAGTCATTCCCCTCTATCCCAGTGAGCGGGACTCGGAACCCTCAGCAGCCCTGATCGTGGGAGTTGGAGGGGTGAAGTCTAAGCTGGCGTGTGGGAATGTAAGTAAAAAGGCAGTAGGCGAGGTAGTATTGGCCGGAAAGGGCCTCTTTGAGGCCTGCCCCGTCCCTGAGACTCCTGAGGGCATGGCACCAACGTGCAAGGTGCTTCTTGCTATAGCTTAGGACCGGGACCCAGAGGCCAGCACTCAGGCAGAGAGACTGAAACCACTGGAATCTTAGATGGTAGCTCTGGGAGGACTGTAGTGGGCTGGTCTGTTGGACAGAGTTTTCTTTCTGGGCCCTTATGAAACTGACTCTCACATCCCTTGTCTTGAAAAGTCCGGCTTCCCTTGCTGCTACCCACAGCCGCTCAGTTGCTGGATGTGGTCACATCCCACGCCCCTTATACAAGAGAGCAAAGAGGAGTTGGCCTGACAGGGTCACGTGACTCCTAAGTCAGGCTTCCAGATCAGCCGAGTGTAGGCATCTTCGACAGCTTCCCCGGGCCCTCTGAACAGACCCACAGCCTCACCCAAGGATTGCACAGCCCGAAGAATCCGCAAAACAATCTCTTGTGCGTGCGTAACATCTTATTACATACCCATGCATACAGACGCAGCCCCTCCCCCTTCGTCTCCCCAAGGACTGTTGGTCACAGTTTGGCTGGGGCAGGAGCAGCGCCCGACGGTCCCCCAGGCCAGCTCCGGGTGGCAGACGGGTGCTGGCTCTGGGTTCGGCCTGCTCGGGTAATCCTGTTTGTGGCCCAGCGCTCTCCAACCAGCTTTCCCAGCAGGATTAACTTCTGATTCTTGTACATGGGTGTGTGTGTGTGTATTTTATGACCAGATTGAAAAAGTGGAACAAAGGTAACAATCCCTTGTTTTCTTGGTGTTGCTCAAAAGGAAGTGGGTTTTTCTCTTATCAGCAGGAATGAAAAGGAACCCTACATCCTTGGTGACTGATACCAGAGGGGTTTGTTTCCAAAGCGGCTCGATAAGGGAGCATTTCACCCTGTGTTTCAGACACCAGTGCCTCCCTTCGGGGCAACTGGAAGGACCGCCCTGCGCATTTACATCGCACTGGGACGTTAGAAACTCTCAGCCCGCTCGTCATCCAAACCTGTGTTCAGCATTTGGTGGTGAATTCAGCGGTGCATCTTAGAGTCACCTGTATCTGACACCCCAGAGAAAGCTCACCCAGCCCCCGTTTCGTGTTTCCTGTGCCCAGACTGCAGGGGGAGGGCTGTTGAGCACTAATCCGGGACACGCTCCGTCCACTCAGTCATAGGCTTGGGGTTGCTCAGGCTTGACTCAAAACTTGGCCCACTGCTCCCAGCCTTTCTCCTGCCATGCTCCCCTAACCCCAAACACTCCCTTCAAGCATCCTGGGATACAGAGGGACCCATACCCACCTCTAGGCTAGTATGTGGATTCCGTAGATGAGGTGTGCGGGCCCAGCACATGTGAGATATTCCCCATGTACTCCAATGACAGGCTCCTCCACTCCTCTTCCGTGAGATTTTTGTGCTGAAAAAATATAAAATAAAAGCAAGCAGCGCTCCCAAGGCAAGCATCTCTACCTCCTAGGGAGCAGGTGTACAGAGCCCGTGGCATCGTTCAGCATCAACCCAGTGATGCCCCTGCCCACTTGCCCATCTGCAAGGGGATGACAGTTCCACCCACTGTGGGCCCTCCTGCAGTAGTGTGAGCAAGCAGTCTGCAGTGCATGCCCCACACACGGACAAGCCTCACATGCAGTGTGGTGGTGTGACATCCTTCCCTATTGGAGGGCTGGCTCACGGCCACACTCACTGTGCAAACCCGTTGAGTTGCACACTCATAATTTGTGCTCTGCTCTGTGTCATGCTATGATAAAACATTTTTTAAAACACAAGCCGCAAGAAGACACAGGAGGAGGGGAGCTGCCTGAGGTCCCTTGTCAGTTGCACAAACTGAGGGAGCTGGCAGGTCTAGGCAGTGCGGAGAGCAGACAGGCCGCTGGCCCGCAGAGCTGAGTGTAGGCGTCGGTGGCTTAGTGGCCCCTTGGGGGGTGCATCAGAGAACAGCCAGAGGAGCTCTGCAAGCACATGTTCTTGCTAGGACAGCAGCAGACTCTTTGCAGAGCTTTATCCATCTGGGGCAGGGCAGGGGACGCCTTTCCTTTGCTGCTGGCACCCACGATGAGGAAGCCCAGACCAGGGAATGAATTAAAGGGAGATGAGCTGGTCCTAGTCCGGCGACCTGAGCGGCTGGAAGCGAGGCCCAGGCAGGCGATGTCCTTCGGCCAGGCTTCCCTTTCCCCTGGGTGGGCTGCTGGGGGCCCGGGAGCCTGGCTACAGAGAAGACCGCCCTGCAGCCAGAGAGGCCAGCGCTGCCCAGCCGATGTGAGAGTGCCTGGAGGCAGAAGCGTGCCCCTGGCAGCTCAGCATGCATTTTACTTTGTTCTAGCTCTTGCGCTGTTTGCCCCCCTTCTGACCTCAGCAGCCTCCTGCTGTCTGGAACTTGGGGCCCCCTCTCCTTACCATCAGCGCCTCCCCCAGGCCCTTACCTGGTCATTAATCCATGCTGCAGGCTCCTTGTCCAGTGATTTGACTTGGTGCTTTCTCCTGAGAGTGTTTTAACTTGGGGTTCCTGGTTGTGATGGCTCCGTCCTAAGGGTAAATCATGAACAAATGAGTCTTAAATTCAGAGTGGCTATGCTGTGGCCCTGGCGGGCTTATGGGCAGATGAAGAGGCAGATAAGAGGATGGGAACACCCCCAACAGGCGGCAGGAATGGCTCATTCTGTGGATCTGGTTCTGGGTTCAGTGTGGACCCCACCGGCCCCTCTGTGGTTAGCATTAGAAGAGTCTGGCCTCTGTGACAATGTGACATGTGCTTTCTCAGGTCACACGGGAGAGCCACACACCTTTGGTTTCCCTTAGGCAATGAGGGGCCATCTCCCTTGGAAGACTGGGACGAGACCCGGAGAATATGGGAGGTGAACCTGGGCTAGCCCAACATTTTCTGAAGTTGACATTTTCTGAAAATCTGTGCTTCTTTTTTGTAGAGGATACTGCAGGCCAACACTGTCCAACAGAGCTCTCTGCAAAGATGAAAGTGGTCTAGATCTGTGCTGTCCAGTCTGGTGGCCACTAGCCGTGTGTGGCCCTTGAGCCCCAGAAATATGGCTAGTGCGCCCGCATTAGTTCTGGGCTGCTATAACAGAGCGCCACAGCTGGGGCCAGGGGTCGGGGGGCGGCTGAAGACAGCAGAAGTCTTTCTCCCTTGAGGTTCTGGAGGCCAGTAGACTAAAATCCAGGTGTCTGAGGTTGGGCCTGCTGCAGGCCCTGACGCTGCCCTTGCCCGTCTCCCAGCCTCCCGTAGCTGTTGGCAGCCCGCGGCCTGAGCTGCCTTACTCCCACCTCTGCCTCCGTCCTCAGGTGGCCCTCCCCCCCGATTGTCTGCATCCACCTTTCCCTCTTCTTATAAGGACACCAGTCATTTGGATTAGGGTGACCCTAATGACCTTGATGACCTCTGTAAAGACCCTATTTCCAAATAAGATCACATGCGCAGGTCTTTTGGGGGTTAGGACTTCAACATACCCTTTTTGGGGACACAATTCGACCCTTAACAACAATGAGGAACTGGGGTTTTAATTTTATTTAATTTTAAATATAAACAGCCACATACAGCTAGTGACTGTCCCCAAGATGGCACAGCTATAGATCATGGAGGGAGAATTTGGATAATTGAGAATTTCTGTTGAGAGCTGCCATCGGCCCCATGCCCGTTCCAGGTGGTACCACGTGCCTGCTCCAATGGAGTTTCCCTGGGCAGCAGCCCCTGGGGGATGGAAAGGAGGGGGGTCCTAACTGTCCCAACAGATGAGGGTGAGCAGGACGCGATCCGGTGGGCCCTTTTACGTGCATTTTGTGACTTAGTTGGCACTGCAAGGCTTCCTCTAATTGTCGGTGGCCTTGCCTGCCTGGAATGCCGGAGCATCCCGTGTGATCCCTGCTCGGATTTCCCAGGCCGGCTCCGCAGCTTCTGCGGAGATGTTTGGTCTCTAAACGGGCATCACAAGTGCTGAGAGTCATCTGGGGTTGGGCACAAAGCCCAGCTCTCCCTGAATGGAGGGAGCCCATGTGGAGAGGTAGGTGCTGTGGCCTGGCCTTGAGGCAGATGCTGCCATCAGGACTGTCCTCCAGGGTGGGGCTGGGAGAGTCCCTGGCTTTCCCAGAACCCAAGGGAGCTCTTAGAGTGTGGGTCCCAGACCAGCATCCTCAGGTCACCTGGGAGCAATGTTAGAAATGCAAAGCTCAGGTCTCAGTCCCAACTCCCTAATCCCAGTTTCTGGGCTGGGGCCTAGAAATCTGCGGTTTCACAAGTCCTCCGGGTGATTCAGGCTCTTGCTTGAGTTCTGAACTACTGGCCCAGAGCCAGTTCTCACCCTAAATGTTGTGAGTCACCGACGCATCTCCTTAAAGGGCAGATTCAGGTTCTGTGGGTCTGGGGTGGGGCCTGGGAGTCTGCGTGGCCGACAGGCTCCCAGTGATACCAGGCTGAGGGTCCTCAGCCCACACTCCAAGTAGCCAGGGTCAAAGCTCTGAGCCACACAGAGCCTGGGACCTTTTCTTTTGCTCACTCTTCCCAGACCTAGAACAGAGCCCAGCATAAAATATGCTTCATTCATTCATCTTAAAAATCGTGGGTACTAGATTTGGTCTCTAAACGGGCATCACAAGTGCTGAGAGTCATCTGGGGTTGGGCACAAAGCCCAGCTCTCCCTGAATGGAGGGAGCCTTTTACAGCCCTTGCAGGGGGGACAACATCCTGGCATGACTTACTCAGTGACTTCTTTTCTACTAAATACTAAGACAAAGCCACACTGCTCAGAACTGCCACCAGATTTCATTGGGACTGTTTCATTAATCTTGGATGCAGCAAAATATTGGCAGGCATACATTTTTGTGGGGTTTTTCTTTTGCAGTATGGGGGTACTAATCTGTGACAGTCTTTGGTAGCAGGCCACCAGCCCCTCCACCACCCTCTTGCTTCCCTACCTTATCTTATCTTACTTTCATTTATTTTACCAGCCCCTTTTCTTTTCCCAAGAAGGTGCTATGCATACTTACCACCTGCTTCCTAGCACCGTGGGCTGATGGCCTGTTATCCCAGCCCAGGGGCTGCCGCTTGTGCCTCCTTGTGTCTTCTGCAAACGCCTCACTGTGTGGTAGGTGCCCAGTGTGTACCTGTCCACTCACTGATAAACTGAGGATTTCAAAGCAAAATATTCTGACAGGTCCCTTCGCCATTCCTGAATTGAAAAATAAGTATCTCCAGCAGGGAGGAGGAGCCTGCTTCCTGACAGAGGCTGAGGGGTGCTTCCCCATCTCCAGCCCAGCAAGCCCCAGGCCCCAGGACTCCGGCCTCCCCGCCATAGCCCTGGCTGCTCTCTCCCAGAAGGGTTTGGGACAGAAGCCCTGACCTCCGCGACGCATACCGTAACCAGACAGATGGTGTGTCCCCGAGGGCTGTGGGGACTCAGCCAGCAGCTGCCTCACCCAGGGAGCAAGGCAGCCTTTGCAGGGGACTTAGAGGACCAGGGGGCCCCCGCCTGGAAATATTAACTGCAACTTGTCATAGCTGTTCATGTGGCTGCTCAGGGGTCTCCTGCCAAAAACACAGGGTAGCCCTCGTGGCTGCCAACAGGAAACAACGCGGAGCCCCAGGAGGCGGGGTGCTTCAGAGAAGAAGGGGCGGTGGCCTCCAGTACCCTCACCATTTCGGGGCATTGCCCGGAGTCTCAGGAGACATTCTTTCCTTCACTCGCTGAGGCTCTACGCGCGGCCATTGTAAGCTTGGCATTTGCACTGTAACGTGACGACCTCTTTCAGGGGTGGGTTTTCACCAGGAGATTCTCTGCACCTCTGGAGCCTTGGTGGGCCAGAAGGCCAAGTTGGGTGTCCTGAGGCTCTCTGTTCTCCCTGGGTTTGCAGGGGGCTGATGCATTGATCGCTGCCCCCATTCTCCTGCCCAGAATACAGATTCCCTCCCTTTGCCCCCACCCTGTTCTATCCCAGTGCCTTTGAACCTTTGTGCCAAGGCGATGAAAAGTCTAGAGACAGCAAGCAGGTCTGGTTCTGTGCCATTTCTGTGGCTACAGTGCTTGGCCCCCACCTGTCCCCGGGACCCGGGCCTGGCTTTGCTGCGCCTGCCTCAACCCCTGCCATGCTGGGATCAGGGGCCACACTGTCCTTTGAGGAGCCAATAGTGTTGGGCATCATCTTCTACCCAGCTGTCCTAGCCAGAAACTTAGGGCCCCTGGGCTTCGCTTCTCCCTTGACCCTCACATCCAGCGGGTCTCTGCCCTCCTGTGTGCATCTGCCCCCCTCACCCCACAGAGCCTGGCACTGGTCCGCCAGCCGCAGTGCAGCTACCCTAGACAGGCCCAGTGAGAGGGCTGCTGGGCCAGCAGGCACACAGCCTGCCCTCCTGCAGTGCTCCTGGCGGGCTGGCAGTAACATCCATGTGGTCCAGGGCTTCCAAAAGCCTGACCCTGGGCCACAGCTGAAGTCCCACTCGGTCCCGAACACTTCAGCCCACGCAGTCCCTATGCGCCCCCACTGCACCCCCACCCCCACCCCAGGCCATGACCCCCAAGCTGCTGCTCCTTCGGCCCATTTTATGTTCTTTGTATATTACCACAACTAAAAAAATTTTTTTTGAAAGATAGTTCTGATCTGGGCTGCCTTCACACATCCTCCAGAAGTTGGCTTTGCAACCCCAGAAGCTCCACCCCCCCGGGGAGACCCCCAGTGCCCGACCCAGCAGTGACTGACCACCTGCCCAGCTGCCTCCCTCCCAGTACCCATTTTTTCATCTCTCACAAAGAGTCCGTGCAGGTGAGCCAGAAGGGAGGGGCTGAGCCTTCGGGGGACAGCCCAGGCTCCCACAGAAGGCCCCTGGCTCACTGCCCACCCCACTCCCGGGGGCTTCAGACTGGGGTTTAAGACCTGAGACACCTCCTTGTTGAGTCTGGTGTGGATGGACAGGAGGCCCTTCATAATGTAATGGTTGCCTCTTGGCCGTATGATATTTAGGCAAGGAAAAGAGGGCCTTGTTCTGAGTCAGAGGGGAGAGGGTGACACTCAGCCTGCGGGACACCCTGCAGGAGGCCCTGGCCTGCAGACAGACAGCCACAGCAGCAAAGAAGGGCTGGCTTTGTCACCAAAAGCCCCCGTGGGTCACCAGAGTGGCCACTTGGCCACAGCCACAATAAGGACCCAGCCCAGCACTGTCCCGGATCCTGATACCACGGGCTCCCCATGCGGTGTCCGAAGGGGGGCTGTGCGGGGGGGCTGTGCTTGTCACCGAAAGTGCGGTCAGCTGTGGTGGAGCCTGTTGGTGGGGACGGGAAGGGAGGAGGGGGAGAAAAGGAGGTGGTTGCGACTAAAAACAGACCAGAGGCCTACAGCGCTCCCCGCAGCACTGGCAGGGTTGGGAGGAGGCCTGATGTGAGGCCAAGCCCCGGGCTTCCAGGAATGCGCTGGGAAACTCCAGCAGGCTGTCCTGGGCCCCCGTGCTGGCACCGTGCCCATGCCCCCAGACCGAGGAGCTGGGTGGGGTGTGCACGGTGTGGGGTCTGCCTCTCTGCCAGATGAACCCCAGACTGTTCTTGCTGCATGGAGAGTCTGGCAGATGCAGTGCCTATGGTTTAAAGTCCCCAGGTGAGTCTGGTGTGAAGGTCTGTTGGCCGGGATGCCCTGTGCCCTGGGCTAACAGCTAGGCCGCCCCCCAGCCTTCCAGCTTCTGCTCAGGGCGCTGTGAAGAGAACCAGCTCTCAGCACACTTTGGGAGCCAAGGTACCCTGCTGGCCAGTGGAGGGATCCCCTTCAGGAGCTTAGATTGGATCTGTCTGTTTCACTGCTGGTAACGGAGGCTCAGATTTAAGCAGCCTCTGAGGGCAATAAGCTGGAGGTTGCTACTTAAGTCCAAGTTGAAAGAGGACAGGGGCTATTTCCTACCCATGCTTTCACTCCCACTGGCACAGCGTCCAGGTCCGTGTGGCATTTGATGAGCGAATCCCAGACTGGCCTGTCAGACACCTGCTGTGAAGGGTCTGTCCTCTCTGGATCCCTCAAACTAATCCACGCGAGGGCATTTGCGTCATCCTGCCCAGAAGATGATGGGTATTTTCTCAAAAGACTTTCTTGGGGAAAGGAAGGCTGAAGAGCACAAAAGGCAGAGGTGAGCGACTTCGTGCTTCTGTGGTCACGTCACTAGGAGCAGGGTAAGCCGTGACATGGAAGAGCAGGTGACTGTTGCTTTAATTTACACAACACCAAGTCATCGGACTGTGCCCAGCTGCAGGCTCTGTGCCAGGGGACACACCCCCCACCCTGCCTCCTCCAGTTATGTCACCACCACAGCCTCACCAGGTGTCATATAAATGTCACATTACCCTTGGCAGGGCTTCTCAGATACCACGTCGGAAACTTGGCTGCAGGAAGGCAAGGAATGTCTGACATCTCCCTGGACTCCCTCCCACCACAGGCCTGGTGACCCGTCCAGGTCCTGTGACCAGGGCCTGGCATCCCGCACACACCCAGAGCCCAGAAAGGAGGGGCAGGCAGTGGCCCTGGTTGAGATGGATGGATTCTGACCAAGGGGGACGCGAAGGCATCCCCAGGAAATCTTAAGGGGCAGCGTGGGCATCAGACACCTGACTCCTTTGTCTGGGCCCTTCGTGCCCTGCATGAGGGGCACGTGGAAGCCGGACCGTGGGCACTGGGATGAGGCTGCTGCCACAGAGAGGACCAGGTGGAGACCTGGAAGGGTTTGCAGCCTCCTGGGAGAAGCAAAGAGCAAACCTGTGCCAGAATTTGAACAGAATTCGCACACTTCGGTCTAGCCATGCAGTGAGATCTTACTCAGTCTCAACAAGGAACGGAGCCTGACCCGGGCTACAACATGGATGAGCCTTGAGGACAGTATACTGAGTGAGACAAGCCGGACACAGAGGGACAAGCACTGGGTGACCCACTTACATAGGTCCCTAGCCGGCTTCACAGAGACAGAACACAGGATGGTGGGGGCCAGGGGCTGAGGGCGTCCGTGTTAGTGGGGACAGAGCTTCAGTTGGGGAAGTTGTGGAGGTGGATGGTGGTGACACCTGACAACAACACGAATGCACCTAATGCCACTTACTTGTACACTTAAAAGTGGTAAGATGGTCAACTTAATGTTCTTTATGTATTACTGCAACTAAAAATGTTTTTTTAAAAGATAGTTCTGATCAACAAATTAGCTTATTCAGAAAGTCTTACAAATCTATTTCCTGGATAGTCTTAAGTATTCATGTCTTTAGCAGATAAGTTTCTAAGAAAAAAAAAGTCTTGTTTTCCCACAATGTTTTAAAAAGTGGGCAAAGCCCCAGTGGCGACACAGTTGCACAGAGCCCACTGCTTGGCTTGGGTGGCTGCTGCGAGAGTGCGGGGCAGGCCAGCTCCCAGGGATGGGGCCAGGAGGGCACAGAGGCAGGCACCGTCCCCTGCAGGAGCCACCCTGGGACAGCAGCCACTCAGTCAGGGCCTTGCCCTCACGCCTCTGCTCTGGAAGCCTGGCACCCCCAGGAGAGTCCCAGCATCTCCCAGAGGCTTGGCTCCGGCCTCCTGCACCGACCCCAGGCAGCTGGGTGTCGCAGGGCTTTTCTGTGTGCCCAGACCTACACCAGGAGCCCCTTGTTGAAGGTAGTCACTCGCTGACTTGACCCAGGCTGTGGGGGCTGCTCTGTGTTGAATGTGAGGTTGGGTGAGCCTGTCAGCCAGGGCCTCGCTCGGTCCGCTCTCCCTACCCACTCCTCCGCTTCTGCCACCTTTGAACTCTCTCCACCATCTCTCCCTTCCCCGCAGTATGGAGGGCACAGGCTGGCAGGCTCATAGGCTCCCGGAGCCAAGACCCCACTCTTCCCCAACCCTGCTCAGCAGTGGTCGGTCTGTCCTGTCTCCCAAGATGGTCTTTGGGCTGAAAGAGGTGGATTCCAGCTGCTATTGTTAGCAGAGCTCGGGCCCCTGGGCCAAGTCAGCACTTCTGTTGTGATGCATAGGAGGCCCCCTCAGGGCCCGACCACTGTCCTTCAAGGCCCTGCGTGAATGGCCCCAGGCCTCCCCAGTAGTCCAGGCCGCACGACAGCCCCCCTCAAACTCTTGGTAGAGCAGTTACAGTCAGGCTTATTGATTATAGCTTTAGTACAGTAAAACTCACCCTAAAGTTTCAGTGTACAGTTCTGTGAGTTTTGACACACATATAATTATACACTCACCGCCACCATCAAGATATGGAACAGATCCATCGCCCCAAAAAAGTTCCCTTACACCCCTTTAAAGTTAACTTTTCCCTTGTCCTCAACCCTGCAACCTATAATTTTTCTGTCCCCTATAATCTTGCGTTTTCCAGAATGTTATATAAATGGAAAAATTCAGCATATACCCTTTTGGATCTTGGCTTCTTTAAGCAAAACGCATTTGAGGTTCGTCCGCGTCGTCGCCACGATCAGTTCTCCTTGTTACTGCTGAGTGGGGTTCCGCCGGATGGCTGCACCCGTTGTTCCGCCGGATGGCCGCACCAGTTTGTTTATTTGGGTTGTTTTCAGCTTGGGACAACCAGGAATAAAACCTCTACAAACATTTGCACTCGGGCTTTCGTGTGGACACGTTCCCACTTCTCCTGCGAAGGGCATCATGAGGTTGTATGGTCAGGGCATGTTTAACTTCATGAGAAGCCGTCAAACAGTTTCCCAAACCGGCTCCCATTTTGCATTCCTAGCAGCAGTGTGTAAGAGTTCCTGTTGCTCCACATCCTCACCAGCACTTAGCATTGCTAGTTTTAAAATGGATTTTTCCTGTCGAGCAGGGCTGCGGTGCATGCAATGTGTGCACCCCTAGGGATGAACGATTAATGACGTGGGCATTTTTAATGAGCTTCTTTGGCATCTGCCTATCTTCTGTGGTGGAGTGTCTGTTTTAGTCTTCAGTTCGCTGTTTTATTGAGTGATTTGTTCTCTGATTATTGAGTTTTGATAGTTCTTTGTAAACTCTGGATGCAAGTCCTTGATCACATACGTGTTTTGCAAATATTTTCTCCCCCTCACTTGTCTTTTTTCATTTTCGTTACCAGTGTGTTTTGAAGAGCTTAGGTTTTAAATTTTTATGAAATCCAAGTTATCTATTTGTTCTTTTATGGACATTTGGTTGAGTACAGATGTGCCACGGTAAGTACCATGAGTTTTTCTTGAGTCGGGATTATGTGCCAGGCTGGGGGCACAGCAGTAATAGGACTCCATACTGCTCGTGCTCAGCGGCGGAGCCCTGCAGCGAGGAAGGGGCCATAGCACCCTGTAAGTTACGCTGTTGGAACGCACCAGGTGCGCAAAGAGGAGGGTAGTTAACTTGAGAGACGAGGAAGGGCTCCCGCAAGATGAGCTTTGAGGCTGCCGAGAGAATCAGACATGAACGCGGCCACCTGCTCCCCTAAGCACCGAGTCCTGACACTATTTCCCACGTGCGGGCCTAGGAACACAGCGATGGGAGCCGGGGGGGTTGGGGGGGACTGCGGGGGCCAGAGCCTTCTGGCTGGACTCCCTCCCCTCGCCGCACTCCCCGGGCCTGGCTTCCCCTTGGTGTCACACGTGGAGTGAGTGTTTTCTGGCCAGCCTCTGGTAGACTCACCACCATTACCAGGCCTGGGGCCTTTCAAGTGAAACCATGTGGAGAAAGGGGAGGCTGGGTCACCCCTGAGATCCACCAACTAGGTGAGGGTTTTGATGGGGCAGGGGACCTTCTAGACCCTGAAATGAGGCAGACAGCAGGCTGGCTTCTGCCCACAAAACAAGCTTAAACACGGGCACGGAACATCGGCCCAGCCCTGGAAGATGGTCCCTCTGGATGGGTTGTTAGCTCTCTGCTGGAAGCGCAAGGACAAGTCCAGGTTCAATGCTGTGACCTTTAGCAAGGGCAGCGCAGAGCTGCTGTCTAGTGGTGGTGGTGCTGTTACTGCCCGGGGTGGAGCAGGTCCCGGGGCTGAGATCCTGCACTGTCTGCAGAGGACACACCAGGGTGTGTACTCCCAGCGTGAGACGCCTGAGGCCCTTCTCTGCACCTTGAGGACCTGCCAGGAAACACGGGGGGCAGATAACCCACGGGACTCACGGTCCTTTTCTTCAGAAGGTGACAGGAGAGCCAGGGCTCAGAGCAGCACCATGGAAACCAGTGTGATGGCAGAAGCATGGCCTGGAAGCCTTCCCGGCCGAGGCCCTGGCCCCATGCGCACCCCGACCTGCCTCCCCGGCACCTCGCACCCAGCGGGCCCGGTAGGGGAGTGTCAGGTGATGTGTTGAGTCAACAGACCCACAGGAGAGCCCTGGTAGGAGTCCCGTGGCAGCCAGCTGCAGCCGCACCCCAGAAAGGGAATGCCCACGACTGGCTGCCAGCCACCACCTGGCCTGTCCCAGCCTCAGCAGGAGGCGAGAGCCGCAGGCGTTACTCACCCACACTGCCCCCTCCTTGGGCTCTGCTGAATGTGGCTTCCAGAACAGAGGTTTGCAAACAGCTCCCAGGGTCCCACATCATGCCGGGTAGAACACTATGTCCTGATGTGTCAGAGAGTGGCACATTTGCAGGTGACTTGGGATACACCTTGGGGAGGCAGCAGTGTCTCAGAGCCCTTCCTGGGTCGCCCACAGCCCCTCTCACCCATACTGAGTCCAGAGCATGGAGGTGGGAGATCTGGGAGGGCCCCCCAGGGTGAAGTTAAGGAAAGGTCAGGAAAGGTCTAAAGGGGGGCTGGGAGCACAGCTGGAGGTGCCAGGCTTCACCAGCAGCAGCCACTGCGGTCTGCGTGGGGGGAGAACTATCACAGGGGTTCTCAGCAGATCCAAATAGCCCACATTGCAGGAGGGGGCAGGATAAACTCAAGGAATAACTTCTGATTTTAAAAGTCCGCCCTGGGAACCTCAGTGTGCCACAGTCCTCATGAGGCTCCCCGCCTTTTCTCGATTTCATCAAACATTGCTTTTCACCTAGTCCTCAGGCCCCATTTTCTCCTACTGAAGGTCCCTCAGAATGGACCCAGCTACTGTAGAAGCTGAAGCAGCGGGCATCTGGCCACCCTGTAGGGGTGAGGAACTATGGAAATGTCTTGAGACTCCTTGGAAGGCAAACTCTTACAAACCTGGCTTTTGGGCACTAGGAACTGCCATGAGGTTATTTCAGAGAGAAAGTGATTTGTTTATCTGTGCTTCGGTTATTGATTTCATCAGATTATCAAAGGGTCCTGGGACCAAAAACATTTAAAAGTCACTTCCTTCCCAGTTTCTGGGGAAGTTTCCTCAGAAGCTAGAATTAGAAGCAGGTGGTGGACAACCAGGAATTCCAAGAGAGGCTGGAGGCAGAGCGCAGGGAGCCCCCCCGCGGGCCCACAGCCCCTGGAGGAGAGGGGACACCCTGTCGGCACAGGAGGTTTGCAGGCAGCAGCTCTGCCGACTGAGCCCCTCCTAAAGAGGCGTGCATCCAGGCCTGAGGGTCTTGACTCTCCCTGGGGCCGTCTCAGCAGGGTTCATTCCAAGCATGCCCTCAGACCGGACCTGCTGTTTCGTGTCCTCATGCACCTGTGCGTACAACACGGTCTGGCTGTGCCAGAACAGTTTGCCTGGATGGTGTTGTTTATAAACAGGCATCTCAGAGAGATCAAGGTTAGAAAGGCCTGTCTGAACTTGCATGGAATCTGATCCTGACCCAGGGTGGGGCTCTGGGGGCTCCTGCCCATAAATATTCTGGCCCCACCTGTGACCAGTGCCAAACGGCCTTTCCTCTGCTCTCTGGTACCTTGGGCTCAGCAAGCATGAAACTCCATGGGTCTCCTACTGAATTAGTCCCCCCCACCCCCACCGCCATACATCCTTCCCATCGACCTCAGCTAGCTCCTGCTCTCCCAAATCCAGGGTTTCTGAGTTGTGGCCTTCTACTACGCCTCCACCCTGTCCAACCAACAGGGGCCATTGGGGGTGGCCAATGGACATGGGAAGAGGACACTAGGACAGGCCAGCAAGAGCCCTGGGGTCCCACCTCCTGCCTCCTGCTCAGGGCACCTGTGGGCCTCCCATGAGAACATGTTCTCTCCTCACCTACACAGATAGCCTGCCATCCCCTCCCCCGTGGTTGTGACATTGGCCTCTGAAACCTCTCATAGCATTGGGAAAGCACCCAACTGGGGGTCTAAAGGCCCAGGTTACTGCATGCCTGGCCTGGCCCCTGACCCAGCTGATGCCCTTGGGCCTGACGCTTCACCTCTGAGGGCTTGTGTTTCCTCCACTGTAAAATGAGGTCTTGAGGTGTTTGTCTGCTATAGCCACTCACTATGGGTTCCACTAGCTGCGACTCCCTTGGTGGGGACTACGCTGATTCTGTCACATCCGCTGAGTTAATCTATGCAGTCCCAAATGACACCTGTGAATTTTGTGATTCCACAAAGACAGGTCATCATCAGAGGCAATGGGCGTAGCTGTTTCCCCTTCATTGCCAAGTCCTTAGCAAATTGTTTTCCAGGATCTGTTTTAGATGGGAGATGAATTGTTCTAGAATCCCTCTTACAAAGTAACAGAGTGCTTTTTTTTCCTCCTCCCTTTCCTGAAGATGGCCCTGTAGCTTTAAAATTAAAAGGCACATAGACTTGTATCTTTTGCTCTAGTGATATATCTAGGGTTCTCTTTTGGGTTCGTGAGGAAGAACTCAGACCTCCAGAGGGCCCTGCTCTCATAGATGCCAGGGTGGACACCAGGGTCTGAGGCCCCGCAGCTGGGGCAGGTCTAAGGTTAGCCCTTGCAAAATTCCTGTTTCCTTCCCCCACCCCCATTTTTCTTTTCTTTTCTAATCTACGCATGCAAATATACTTGAGTCCCTGTACCTTAATAACTAGGCCCCGAACGCTACTGGGTCTACAAAGCCCCAATAAAACTATATTTTTCCTGGATTCCTTCTAGAATAAGAACCTTATAAAATGTCCTAAAAAAAAGTTTGTTTTTTTAATAGAACTTTTAATTTACCACCTTACTATAATGCTTTGATTCCAAAATGACTTGAGGCAGTTTCCAACATATTTTGAATAGTTTCAGTCAGAAAAGATTGTAAACCAGAGTCTTAGAGTCTACAAGCAAAATGTTCGACCCAAAACCTTACTCTAGATTAACACATGAATTGAGAGTGAGCTCAGGGGTAGCCAGAGCCACCGCTTTTGGGTTATGCAGCTCTCCAGGCCAACCCTGAGAAACTTTACCCGTGAGAGAGAGCCCTAGGGGGTGGCGGGATGGACCAGAGAAGGGTATCTTTTAGGAGACGGGCGATTCTGGAACACTCGGAGCAAGGTCTCAGAGCAGCCAGCTGAAAAGGATCAGAGGCCCTTGGGAGAGAGCTGGCCAGCAGCTGCATGAGCACCTGGTGCCCAGGGATGAGGCATGATGCCGGGACCATCTGCATGAGACTCGGTGGCGGCAGGAAGAGGAACTCCCAGCAGAGGCCAGGCCTGGGCCTGGAGACTAGGAAGGAAGAGAATTTGCCCCTCAGAGAAGGGCGCTGTG